CATAAATTTACTTGATTTTGTAAGATCTTATTAGATTTCAATTTATCAAGATCATCTTAGTTCTTACAAGGTGTGGTATTACAAGATTTAAGTGAGGCATGATCTTACATTTTCTGACATATTCCTTTATTCATAAGATCTTTAAAATTCTTACAAAAATTATAGTTATGATAGATCTCACAAGATCTGACAGGTTGTTCAAATCTTATCAAATCTTAAATAAGAACTTGCAAGAATTTCTGTGTTAAGATTTTACAAGAATACTATCTTATGTTTTCTTGTATAATCATGTGAAATCATGAAAAACCTTATAAGATCTTGCTGGGATTTTTCACAAGGGGTGTGTTGTAAGAGAGAGAGAGATCGAGAGTTGGTAGTTATATTTATTTATTTTTTAATGTATTTTATTTATGTTTTATTAGTTATTCATATCATAGATATTAGAATAAATGAAGAGGGAGAGAGAGAGGGAGGAGAAAGGAAAAGAGAGAATCAATCACATTATGTTAGTATTATTATTACTGACATGCTCATGGAGTGTGACTCAATGTACATGTACACTCTAAGCATGTCCTCCATTATCAAGTAGACTATTAAAGGAGGAATTGAGAGTACTGATGTACATGTACTTATAATTAGTTTTTTTTCTCTTTTTCTAATCAGGCGATGTCTCCCGATAGTCAGACTGTAGTCATTATAGCCAGAGATGAGACACTGAGGTTCTGGTTCTGAATAGTACAGGGTATTTTTTAGATTTTGGCAAATTTTTAAAAATGGGCCGTAACTCAAAAAATTGAAGTCAGAATCGGCTCAAACTTTCTACACAGCATAAGGACATCAATATTTATTAGAAAATGAAATAAAAATTTGGGGTGATTTTGGAGCCATTTTTTGGAAAGAACCATGGGCTATGCCTTTGGTATTTTTCAGATTTTTAGCATTTTCTTAAAATAGCTGTAACTGCAAAACATAAAGTTGGAATCAGCTCAAACTTTCTACAGAGCATTAGGACATCAATATGTATCAAAAAATGTAATAAAAATTGGGTGTCATTCTTTAGCAATTTTTTGGAAAAATCCATAGGCTACTGTGATAGCCTTGAGAAATTTTCAAATTTTTGGCCTTTTTTAAAATGGCCATAACTTGAAAAATTAAAGTCGGAATTACCTCAAACTTTGTACACAGCATAACATGTAATAAAAATTGGGAATGATTTTTATAGCCATTTTTTGGAAAAATGGGTATTTTTAATATGCCTTGGGTATTTTTCAGAATTTTGGCATTTTCTTAAAATAGCTGTAACTCGAAAAATTAAAGTCGGAATCAGCTCAAACATGCATGTGTAGAATAGCAAAAATTAATAATAAAATTGTTTTATTATTTTATGTACTATCAGTGCAGTGGAAGAGTCTTATACTGAAACATGGCGGACATGTTACTGATGGATTTGACATGAGCTCATTAGCTAAAATATCAGACGGATACACTCCAGGGCACATGATCACTGCAATAACACAAGTACTAACTGAAAGAAGAATGCAACAAGTAATAATAATAATAATAATAATAATAATAATAATAATAATAATAATAATAATAATTTTTTTTAAAATCTCTATCAACCTAATTATTTTTATTTCATTTTTCATCCTGCCCTAACTTTGTCCTAATTCTAACTTTCGTTAATAATAATAATAATAATAATACTAATAATAATAATAATAATAATTTTTAATTTTAATATAAATTTTTCTTACTCTTTTTAGCTTCGTAAGTGTCCATTGACTACAGCAGAATTCATTCCTTTTCTTACTAAAATTGATCCAATTTATAGAGAAGAAGAGGAAGCATACAAAGTAAACCTATTATTAGAACTGTTTAGGAATCTTGTTACTAAAAATAGTATGTATAGCAGTGTATAAGTTAGGGGCCTTGTTAGTTGTTACTAAAAATAGCATCTGCATGTAGTACATGTACTATAGGGAGAACCCTAATCTTAAGTGTTGATGCAAATTATTACTGAGAACCTTGTTACTAAAAAAAATCTACAAATGTATATGTACAT